ATGTACCTCTATTTTATAATGAAGATTTAGAGTGTCATAAGGCAACTAACTGTTTTACCCCCAACAAAGTCTCAAAGTTGGACACGGTGCGTGATAAAGCAATACATGAAGAATTAAAGACCGTGACTTTTCGGGGATTATTGACAGGGCGTGTCCAAACACTAATCATGACTGCTTGACAGTAGGGCTTTCTCGATTGTTTAACTGTAAGACGACACCAACAAAGAAAAATACAACTGCAGAAAGTGTATACATGATAACATTATTGCTTTATTGACTCACGTCATTTCTCATTGAAACACTCGTGTTTCTTTTAATTTGTTTTTAAATGTATTCTTTGCAATTAAATCATCAGTGAAAAGTTTGAAAAAATTAATTTATGTATTTATTTAACAAACACTCACCGGTGAACAGCGTACTTGCACGGTATAGTCCGATGATTGTTTTAACCAGGTCTTCCTGCCCACAAGGTCTTCCTGTTGGCCTTTTCCGTGGCCTGATCTTCACTCATGCCCTCGTTGATGTACTTTTCATGTTTTTCACTCCACATCTCATTGGTGGCTTCTATGGCCTCTTTAAACCAGTCTAAATAGAGCTGCATTGTCTTCCAAATCAGAACTAGATTCATCTTCATCAGATGATTCGTCATCTTCCACCTCCGTGACTGATTCGGAATCATTTTCCTCAAGATCTTCGTCTTCATCATACGAAGATTCAGTTTCATAGTTTTCATTTCCGGATCTTCAAATCTACTGCTTTTAAATTCAGGTTCAGAATTATCCACCTCAACTTCGTCTATGTCGGATTCATCTTCAGCATGTGCATTTTCGGTATGTCTCAAGAGGTTATATCTCCGTCCAAAGCGTTTGTCACAATGGTGACAAGCATAGGGTTTGACTGCAGAAATAATATTCATGATGAAGCTTTGAAGATTAATCTCCGAATGGTAAGGAATGGATGAAATCATTTAATATATATCTACTTATTTGGTTACACATTTAATACTCATCATTTAATCAAATGAGTAAATGAGTAACCAAATGAGTAAATGAGTAACCGAATGAGTAAATGAGTAATCGAATGAGTAAATGAGTAATCGAATGAGTAAATGAGTAACGAAATGAGTAAATGAGTAACGAAATGAGTAACGAAATGAGTAACGAAATGAGTAGCAAATGAGTAAATGACTAACGAAATGAGTAACGCAATGAGTAAATGAGTAACCAAATAAGTAGATATATATTAAATGATTTCATCCATTCCTTACCATTCGGAGATTAATCTTCAAAGCTTCATCATGAATATGGATTAGAGAAACAGCGCTATCTGATCGGACGGTGTAAATATACAATGCGTAGGATGCATTCAGTCCCTTCATACATCTGTACGTGTACATACTGTACACACCGTACCGAGTGAGCCGACGCTGAAAGTTTGTATTTTCTACGACCACTGCACACAGATAATTATACGTACATAGATAGTTCTGGTGGTAATGTGGAAGAATATTGTGCAATTGGTATTGCACCTGGATAACATACACAATATGACAAGGCAAATAGCGATGCAGAAGCACGGAGTAATTTATTTGCTCCATGATCGGTGCGGTCATCGAGGGGTGATCGACCATCGGTCTCCGTATAGAACGCATGGATTCATTAGCTCTCTGATCTATTATTAACACAATTCCTCCCTGGTTAAAACAATCATCGGACTATACCGTGCAAGTACGCTGTTCACCGGTGAGTGTTTGTTTACTATAAATACATAAATTAATTTTTTCAAACTTTTCACTGATGATTTAATTGCAAAGAATACATTTAAAAACAAATTAAAAGAAACACGAGTGTTTCAATGAGAAATGACGTGAGTCAATAAAGCAATAATGTTATCATGTATACACTTTCTGCAGTTGTATTTTTCTTTGTTGGTGTCGTCTTACAGTTAAACAATCGAGAAAGCCCTACTGTCAAGCAGTCATAATTAGTGTTTGGACACGCCCTGTCAATAATCCCCGAAAAGTCACGGTCCTTAATTCTTCATGTATTGCTTTATCACGCACCGTGTCCAACTTTGAGACTTTGTTGGGGGTAAAACAGTTAGTTGCCTTATGACACTCTAAATCTTCATTATAAAATAGAGGTACATACCATTGCTTTAACACAAAAAGACCTAGTTATATTTATCCTCGATTTTGTAAACAAGTCCGGCACGGCGGTACAACTAGGGTTCGGCGCATTCCTGTACAGACAACGGTAAAGGGGTATTAAAGCTTGAAATCATGTTTAGTCAGTCAACTTCATTGACTTCTTTCACGTACAGATTTTTGAAGCTCCCGCACATGCCGTGTGCTGCCAATTAAGTCCCATTGTCCGAGGGAGTCAGCGGTCACTACTGTTGCGTAACTCCTGGCACGCGTTATTTAGAATGCTAAGTCGGTGAAAGATAATCGATATAATGAACACGTCTTGAAAGCACACATTCCAAAATGTGTATCCTTGTGGAGACATTTCTTTGTTCTCGTGTAGTAAAGTGTTCAATTTCGAAAGTGAAGTTTCAAAATGCTTTTATTTTAACCAGAATTAGTTTCCTTGGCTGAAATTTGAAATTAATATCCCTTTTCTAAAACTCTTCCATTTGCGACAAATCAACCCTCCTTGGAAATTCCTAGTTTTTGAGTAAACCCATATATCTATTTCGTGAAAACCTTGTGGAGACCTATTCATCTATAGAAATTGCCCTGTGGAGACCTTTACAATGTTTTGTTCCGTATTGTGTGTGAGTCTCCCCAAGGCTACGAATTAGTGGTCATTACGTCTTTATGGATTAGAGAAACAGCGCTATCTGATCGGACGGTGTAAATATACAATGCGTAGGATGCATTCAGTCCCTTCATACAGATATACGTGTACATACTGTACACACCGTACCGAGTGAACCGACGCTGAAAGTTTGTAATTTTTACGACCACCGCACACACTACGTACATGTACATAGATGGTTCTGGTGGTAATGTGGAAGAATATTGTGCAATTGGTATTGCACCCGGATAACATACACGATATGACAAGGCAAATATCGGTGCCGAAGCACGGAGTAATTTATTTGCTCCATGATCGGTGCGGTCATCGAGAGGTGATCGACCATCGGTCTCCGTATTGAACGCATGGATTCATTAGCTCTCTGATCTATTATTAACACAATTCCTCCCTGGTTAAAACAATCATCGGACTATACCGTGCAAGTACGCTGTTCACCGGTGAGTGTTTGTTTACTATAAATACATAAATTAATTTTTTCAAACTTTTTTAAAACTCGACCAGAAGAAACTCTTGCATGTCTGTACACATACACGAACTTATTCTGTCCGTGTGGATTGCACAATGGACTACTGAGATGAGTCATTCGAAACAAATCTTAAGGGGTGTTCCATTCTAGACGATGTTCGCCATTCTAGACGAAATTCTTCAATTAGACAATCATAATTTTTTCTTTCTTTCTTTCTTTCTTTTTTGGAAGGGGGGAAGGGTAATGGTTTACTGCAGCAAAAAAAATGTAAGCGTTTAATGATCAATACCGCAAAATCGACAGGCATTCAATAATCGTTCAATCGTGGCATTTTTATATTCGCGTCGTTTCCACTCTATAAGTGCGTTAAAACATTGCCCCCATTCACAAAATTTGTTTTCCTCTAAATGTCTATACATAGCGGCTCTTGATAGACCAAGATTCATCATTAACTTCTCCCAAGGTCACTCGCACTCTCCATTCTTACCAGAGTAAAAACATTTTTTCACAAGATTTCCAGCTAGTCGGCTTAATTGGCGCTTTGTTGGTGTGGCCTGCATTTTGTTTTTATTATTTACTGTTTGCACACTGCTTTGAATGAATACAAATGATAGTCTTGGTCATTTCAAACGTTTGACATTCATAATCCGGCTCAAGTCTCCCTTTGTCCACTATTCCGGTTCAGGTCTTTCCTCTGTCCGCTATTCCATCTAGCCGGGTGGGCTGCCCCCTTTGTCCAATACATTTTTTAGACCCATCCTTTGTCCGGTAAAACTTACACACGCCCATGCGCTCTTTTATTATGCTAACATCATCCATCGATATGCTAATTGGTTTCATTGATATGCTTATGAGTCCATTGTCTTTGTGCATTATGCATGAAATTCTTTTGTCTTGTCCGATGAAGACCCTACTCACTACTTACGTCATACGTACATGTACGTTTACGTACGTGTGCGGCCGATGGTAATTTTACGGCCACCCGGAACCCGTACCCGGCCGGCCCGGCCCTAGTAGGCCCTGCGCTGCAGTCACAGCCATTCATTTGTGCACACACATACAATTTTGTTGTACTCCACCCTTACAACAAAAAATAATATTTCCAAAAATGTAATTTTCAAATGTAGTGCTCGCCAGTGTCATGAGGCCATATTTTGTGTGTTTTCCTACAGGAATGCATACCATATTTCGTCAATTACTTCCGTTTGGTTTGTCTGTCTGGCAATTTTTGTGGATGCAGACAGCCAAGAACCCCGCTCAAAATTTGGGGACATTTACCGTTATGTGGTATATTCCCCGAAAATTGTATGAAAAAGTACTCACAAAACGACACAACTTTGTAGTAACGTACACTTGTATTTTCCTGTTCCACGCAACTCCCTTTTACATTCCTAACACTGGAGGGCGCTATATCACAAATGCATGTAGACACAACATCTCCCCTCCTCTTTAAGAAAGAACTTGAGTAACAACTATTAAGTAAAATTAGCAACAACTTGAACAAACTGTGAATTTTGTGTTTCAACTTGCAAGCCTTATTCTTCTGAAAGCCCCAAGTAACTTAGCAAAAGTTCAGAGTCCCCTAGTAAGTAAATATGGTGAATCTAGTGTCCGATAAGATTTAAGTGTCCCAATTACATGAGTCCATTATTATCCTGGATTTAGTCATTTAACTGCTTGACTGATGGAACATATGTATGAAAAGGTCTGGACTACATGTCATAATCTTTTGACCACACTGGGGGATTTCGAGGTCTGGTTGAATGTCGAACTTGACCATCCCCGGCCACAGGCTTGTTTTCTGCTGTGGAATTTTGAATGCCATTTGAGCTTGAACCCTGAGCCATAAATTCTACAGGGCATAGACTTAGCTTTGAAGCGTTCCAGACTCTTCCATCCTCTAACACATAAGTAAATGGTCCCTTAGTGTTGACAATCTTCTGTGGAGTAGAGAATTTGGTTGTCCCTTTGTTTGGTCGTTTCACGCGTACAAAGTCTCCTGGCTTGAACTTTGGATTAACCGCACCACGCTTTGAGTCAGTGTAGTTGCGAGATTTTTCCTGTCTCTGAGCAACACGACTGCGAAGTTCAGCATCATCCTGCTGCTGTGGTTTATCGTGGCGAATGTTCATACGCGTGATCAGCTTCCGATTGTGCAGTAGTTCGGATGGTGACTTCCCTGTTGTCTGGTGTGGCGTTGAACGATAGGCAGTGAGTAGTTCTACAACTGCCTCTTTCCACCCTCTCCTCTCCTGTGAAGCAAGCTGTAGGGTCTGTTTGAGAACCCTATTCCAACGCTCTACTTCCCCATTTGCCCTTGGGTAGTAAAGCGATGACTTGTAGTGTTTGATTCCGCAATTGTGCAGAAAGTTCTCAAACTCAGATGAAGTAAACTGTACTCCGTTGTCAGTGACAATTTCATTGGGCAGTCCTTCGCGTGCGAAAACCGTATTTAGCATCGAAATGATTGTGCTAGAAGTGACAGTTCGGGCTTAGCATCGAAATGATTGTGCTAGAAGTGACAGTTCGGGCAAATGCAACTTCTGGCCATTTGCTGTAGTAATCGATGAGAACTATAGCAAATCTGCAGTCCTGAGGACCCTTTTCGAAAGGTCCGGTGATGTCAATCGCGAGTTTTTGCCAAGGTCCCTCTGGCAACGGCACAGGTTGAAGTGGAGCAGTCCGAGTTCGGGCAGTTTTGTCATTGGATTGGCAGGTGAAGCAGTTGCGTATGGCCTCTTCGACCATGCGATCCATGCAAGGCCACCAGTAGCAGTCACGGAGGCGTTGTTTACAGCGTACGATTCCCTGGTGCGCCTCGTGAGCAAGTGAAATCAGGTTGTTCTGCAGACTCTCTGGTATCACGAAACGGTCTCCGCGCATGAGACAGTCCTCTACAACTGAAAGTTCATCGCGAATCATCGAGTATGGCTGAAGTAATCCATCAATAGCTTTCTTGTTAGGCCAGCCATTGATGACATACGAAGTTACCCGCTGGAGGGTAGGATCTGCTAAAACCGCTTGTTGCAGGTCGGTTTTGTTCACCGTAGTGTTCATCAACAGTACATTGATTGACTGTATGATTACTTCCTCGTCATCATCTTGAACTGGGACGGTAGTATGTAGGGGAAGGCGTGAAAGTGCGTCGGCTACTTTGTTGTGAACACCTGGCTGGTACTCTACATTGTAATTGAATCGTAGCAAGCGAGCAGCCCAACGAGCGATTCTCATGGACTGACGTCCTGTTCCGCGTGTAGACAGGAGAGTGGTAAGTGACTGATGATCAGTACGCAGAGTGAAGTGGCGGCCCCATAGGTACTGGAACCACTTCTCACAGGCCCAAACACAGGCCAAGGCCTCTTTTTCACCAACAGAGTAGTTTCGTTCAGCTGCGGTGAGTGTTCGTGATGCGAACGCGATAGGGGATTCAGAGTTTCCTTTCACCTGAAGTAGTACGGCTCCCAGGCCGTAAGCAGAGGCGTCAGTAGACACGATCACTGGCAAATCAGGATCAAATAAGCGTAGTGTGACACAGTTAGCGATGAGTTCTTTCACCGTGTGAAAGCTGTGTTGCACATCCGGCGTCCAGGAGAATTGCACGTCTTTTCGAGTGAGTGCGCGTAACGGCTCGATGACTGTGGAGTAGTTTGGTACGAACCGAGCATAGTACGATGCTAACCCCAAGAATGAGCGTAATGTAATGACGTCAGTGGGGCATGGCGCGTGTAGAATTGCCTCAACGTGGGAAGGGTCAGGCTGTAATCCGTTACCTGACACGACATGTCCGAGAAATCGTAGTGAAGCAACGTTGAACTGGCACTTGTTTGTATTCAGTGTCAGTCCAATGTCCTGTAGACGTTGGAGCACTGCTGTGAGGTTCTTGTCGTGTTCTGCCTGGTCACGACCGTAGCATACGACATCATCCAGGTAACACTGAACCCCTGGTAGTCCAGCCAAAACAGTGCTCATGAGTTTCTGAAAGGCAGCCGGTGCTGATGCAAGTCCAAAGCAAACTCGCTTGAACCGGAAAAGTCCCTCCGGAGTAATAAATGCAGTCAAGTCACGCGATTCCTCTGCAAGCAGTAGCTGGTGGTAGGCAGAGTTAAGGTCGAGGGTAGTGAATACTGTAGCACCCCGAAGTTCGGAGAAAAGTTCCTGTATGTCGGGCAGTGGGAATTTGTCGATGATGACTGCCTGGTTGACTTGCCGCAAGTCCACACACAAGCGAATTGCGCCTGATTTCTTGTAGGACACAATAATGGGCGATACCCATTCGCTCGCATCAATTCGCTCGATTATGTCCTCGCTTTCCAACCGCTGTAGTTCTGCTTTGACTTGATCGCGAACTGCGAAGGGTAGTCGCCTCAACCTCTGTTGAGTCGGTGTAACATCAGGTCGCGTCTTGACACGATGGACAAACCCGCGAGCCAAACCCACTTTTCCCTTCAGTAAGTCAGGGAACGAAGCGCGAATGGATTGAGCATACTGTTCTGTATGTGCAGAGGGTTTGCTGGTAGGTGCAGTTGCAGGTGTAGCTGTAGGTGTAGGCGTAGGTGTAGCTGTAGGTGTAGGCGTAGGTGTAGGCGTAGGCGTTGTTGCAGGTGCAGACGACACCTTGTGAACTGGAACGTGCACTACCTTGTCTTGCTTGAGTGTAAGCGAAAGGCTGCGGATAATGTCCAGCCCAAGGATCGGATCTCCAGATTCTGCGACGTAAAATTCTGCTGGGACATGATGACTGTCACCAAGGCAGACTGAAGTGTGGAAGCATCCCTTGATGGCTATTGGCTCATGGGAGTAGGTTGTGAGCTTTGCCCGAGGGGGTATAGTAGAGCCTCGCGTAGGAAGTATTTGTCGAATGTGACAAGTGGCAGGATGGAAACTGGTGAACCGGTATCGAAAATCATTGGCACCTTGATGTCGCGACCCAATGTGAGTGTACATGTGATGGAGGCTGACTGAGATGTACCTACACTGTTCACAGTAAGTACATGTAGTTCAGTGTCACTATTATCGTCCTCAAAACCTAGCTGTCTAACTTGTCCCGAAGACTTACACACACGTGCAAAGTGCCCCATTTTGTTGCATTTGGAACACTCCACATTCTTAGCTTTACAGTTAGGAAAGTTTGCTTTGTGGCTTGGACTTCCACAACGATAGCATTGTACTGTAGGTGTGCGTTGTGCAGAAGTAGTAGGGGTATTGGGCTTACCATGTCCCTGTGCGTGTGAAGTACGTGGCTGACGACGGGGCTTTGAAGCACTTGACTTTTGCTTGAGACGCGTAGCATGCACAGTACTGTCCGAAGCTTGGGAAGAATCGAAGCTTGCAGCACTGTTGGAGATGGACTTGGACTCGCGAAAAGCTGACTCCATTTGTTGACTCAGTGTCAATGCAGATGACAAAGTCAATTTGGGCTCAAGCAGCAATCTCTCGCGGATCCTTGAGGAGCATGTTTTCTCCACCAGCTGGTCACGAATCATCTCATCAGCGAGTGATCCGAAGTCACATGTCACCGCCAGTTGACGTAATGCAATGACATACTGTTCCACAGGCTCATCAGTCCGTTGAGCCCGCTGCCGAAATCGGTAACGCTCAGCGACCACATTCACCGTCGGCTGGAAATGAGCCTGTAATCGGGCGAATGTGTCAGCGTACGTAGGCTGGGTTGGAGCTGTTCCATCCGCACTGGATGACGGCGAATCCGTAGCCGAAGTAGTAGTAGGCAAAGTTCCAAAAATCCGCTGACCTTCAGGTCCCAAACAGTGCAAGAGCAAAGCCCGTTTGCGTTCATCGGAGTATTTCTCAGCCCCGCTAGCGATGATGTATGTTTCGAACAAACCACGCCATTGTTTCCACGGCAAAGGCGGCGTTCCTGGGGAATTAAGGAACGGCGGAGGTGGATGCAAGTGGGCCATATTCTCGTCGCCAAAATATGTGGTATATTCCCCGAAAATTGTATGAAAAAGTACTCACAAAACGACACAACTTTGTAGTAACGTACACTTGTATTTTCCTGTTCCACGCAACTCCCTTTTACATTCCTAACACTGGAGGGCGCTATATCACAAATGCATGTAGACACAACACGTTACTATACCGTTAATTACTTCATTTAGTTGGCTTGTACAGTATTACCTACATGTACATGTGTAGATGTACATAACGATATAGCTTAAATGATTCTTTTATATGGGCCGGTTAGAGGGAACTTCAAAATTGGAAAATAGAGGGGATAAAACATATGTGAACTAGACCCCCCTCCCCCTCCCCCGATTAAAATCCCCGAGCGACCGACCCAAAAGTGCAGACTTCGATTGTATATTCCTTTATTGCATGGGTGAATAATGCTAAACAGAGGCGGATCCAGCAGCGGTTCCGGGGGACAGTCTGGACCGTAGAATTCGCCCCTAGAACCGTAGATCCGCCCCTGCTTAACATACTGGAATTAGGTCATCTTTCAATCATTATGAAGTGTTCTATGCATAATAATTAATATGCAGCACCAAATCTCAAACAGTTGATCACTGTGTGACGTCAAAATAAAATAAGATTGTGGGTTAATAAAAATTAATTCTTACCAGCCAGGACGGTGAAACCCAAGACGGTTGGAACATCCCCCGCCACGCCGTTGATGACCATCGACCTCGGCGCTCTAGATCTATTGTGCAGCTAGCTAGCTAGCTGCTAGGCGCCGCGCCCGCGCCCCGTCACGTTGCCAAAAAGGGCGCGCGCGGCGCGTGCGTGTGTACGTACGTTGAGTGATGACAGTGCGCGCGCAGTTTATGTGCATATAATATTTTGTTGTGGAAACTGAAAAAATTAAGTTTACTCTAAATCTTAAAAACAAATACTGCATAAATAATGAATGGGTGAAAGTAACAATTACTCAGATTCGCTATTTTGTTATAACGCATCCTCTTCAAGTCACCCAAACTTATCAAAAGGAAGTTAAATCAAAACATTCTTACACACGAGTGAATAATTATGTGAATATACTGTTTGTATTTACGCAAAAGCAATAATAAATTCAACCCAATTTACTTTTGTTCAGGCGTTCATGCACACAACAATTCTTAAATGCAACGTAATTAAATGGAATATTCAGTTTGGACTCGACAAAACAAATTGACGTTAAGTTATTTATACGCAAATCTGGATAAGTAAACGTTACATCATTAACAAAATTAAGCGTTTGCACACGTGACATTAATATTAATTCAGTTATGTCCACGTCAAGGTTATATTTGTAACTTGTGCTTGTGGCAATATTCCTTCATTAGAGCCTTTTGTGTAATGAATTTTTAGTATTTTTGTTTTAATGGGTGGACCATAACTTATTTTGGGTTATTTAAATTCCAATTGTATGCATTCTAAGTGTTTGTAATGTTGTAACATTCTTTTAGTTTGGCCTGTGGGCCACGATGAGAACGAAATAAAAAAGTATCAATCAATAAAT